AATTGACTAAAAAAATTAAATTTTATGGTGATAGTGATTATAAACAATTTGTGACTATAAAGAGGTTTATTTCTTATATTTTAAGTCTGTTTCATAATTTTAGGTGCTTATATAGAGGTGTGACTATATAGGGTGTAATTATATAGAGGTCTGACTGTAGTACTGTAATGTAATATTAAAATAATAAACAGAAGTTTATTTTACATATTGTAGGATTGTACCTTATTATTATTTATTTGATAAATAAATAAAAGTTTGTGATCAAACTTCTTCATATAACTTAAATATTAATATATAAAAATAGTTTTACAAGCAAACAAACAAACAAATTGTACAATATTTACAAAAAAAACATGAAGACAGTGGAATGCACGAGAAAAAATTGCTATTATTTCATATTATGAAAATGGTCATAGCAAAAACTGAACAGCAGCCAAATTTAATATTGAACCAAAGCAACTTCAAGACTGGATTTCTAAGAAATCACAACTTTTAAGAGCTCAACCAGGTTTAAAACGTTTGAATAAAGGTGCGTCTCCAAAATATCCTAACTTAGAAGTTTTCTTAGTTAACTAGATCAAAGCAAGGCGAAAAAATCAACAAGCAGTTTCAAGAAGCATGGTTCAAATGAAAGCTAAATTACTTTCACAACAATATGAGTGGCAACTTGTATATTCTGACATTCTGTCATTTGCTTTTAGCAATAAATGGTTGGATAGTCTAATGTGTTGCAACAATTTGAGTAATCATTGTCATACCACTATATCACAATATTTACCAGATCATTTTATTGAACAACAACAATTATTTTTAGTATTTGTTATGTATAGACGTATTCAGCATGATTACTCTCTTGCATTGATTGGTAATATGGATAAAATGCTAATTGTATTTGATTTACTATATAGTACTACTATAGACACATTGAGTATATGATCAATTAGTATTCATACTACAGGACATGAAAAAAGTAATTTTATAGTAGTGTTAGCTTGTATGTCAAATGGTGCAAAACTTCCTCCTATTGTAATTTTTAAACTCAAAAATATTTCACGAAAAAATTTTTCACAGGAAGTTATTATCTGAGCTAATTCTATTGGATAGATAAATGAAAGTGAGATGCTATACTGGATTAAGAATGTTTGGACTAAATGTGCAAGACTTCCAAATGCACGATCATTATTGGTTTTAGATTCATTTTCAGCACATATTACAGATCCTGTAAAAAAATGCTTTTATGAAAAAAACACTAATATTGCTATTATTCCCAGAGGATTAATATCTCGCTTACAGCCTTTGGATGTTTCACTGAATAAACTATTTAAAATGAAGGTAAAAATAAAATAAATAAAATAAAATAAAAAAAGAACAAAACTTTATTAATAAAATATTTTTATCTTGGATTTTTATTATTACTATATAGATGCGACAACTTTATAATGAATGGATGATTGATTCTATAAAAGAACTAACACCTACTGGTAAAATTAAAAGGCCTTCTTACGAAACTGTAGTAGGTTGGATTAAGAATTCATAGGATGTAATTGATGTTAATTTAATCTAACGATCTTTTAAGTGCTGTGGTATTTCAAATAAACGTGATGGATCTGAAGATGAATTAATATTTAATTACGATTGTTTAAACCACCAAACAAGTCAATCTGATAATGAGATAGAAGAAGAAAGTGACGAAGATCAAGAAAGTGATGAGGATCAAAAAAGTGACGAAGATCAAGAAAGTGAAGATCAAGAAATAATTAATGATCAAGACATAGCAAACAAAATTTAAGAATCAGTTAATAAAAGTTAAGAATCATTTGATAAAAATATTGAAGTTGTGAACCTCCTTGAGGACGATAATGACAACAATTATTATAATGAAGAAATGAATTATTAAAATGTATGAGACGATTAATAATTGAAATCCGAATTGCTCAATTAAAAAAAAAAAAAATTATAGATATAGATTTGATAAATATTAATAATAATAAAAATATACATGTATAATTGCAGTCGCTAATATTAAAACTAATTAAAAAAAAAAAAAAGGACTGGTAATAAAGTTGTATGCTTATAATTTCCTATATTTTGTATTTGTGTCATAATATTAAAATGTAAATAAATATCTGCTACTTGATTAGTACCAGGATACTTTTCAAAAATGTCAAAATTTACAACTGAATAGTACCCGATACTATTCAAGGGGGGTACTTTTCAAGGAGGGTACTGTATGCAGTACTTTACGGTAGTAGAATTAAAATTATGAACTTAAATATCTATTCATAAATACTTAACTCTAAATATTTAATGATCAGCAGACACTCTGCAGCGTACCTTTGCTAGGTGTCGGAAAGAAAATTGGGACTCTGCGAAAAGAAGAGACTACTTTTAAGGCAGTAACTGAAACAAGGGCGAAAGCTCTTGTGGCAAAGAAACGGAAGATGGAAACTCTGAAAACGACGAAAGATGAAACGAAAAGAGCTAAAATACACGACACTAGATCTAGAAGCAAAAATAAAGAAAATGTTGACCCGAATTCTTCAATCAGTCAGGAGGGCCCAAAAAACTTGGCAAATGACCCAAAAGATGTTCGAGTAATCTCAACTGAGTCAGAGAAGAGTTGGGCAGAGGAAATGGACGGCATATATGAGAAAAATAAGACACCTCAAAAAAATACATCACAAAATACGACTAACAAAGGATCGGAAAATTCTACGGACACCCGAACAGAAAATTCTGAGGCACAAACAAATAAAAACGAATTAATTAATTCGGATGGGACTGAAGAAACAGATTTAGAAACCTTACGAATTGAGGACGAGAGAAATAACAGAAATCCAAAAGAACAAACCCCAAAGAAGCAGTGGTCCAGCCTTTTTACAAAGATGCAAAAAGGAAAAGCAACGTATCTAACAACTCTTCCTAAAGGAGGGACTAAGACGAAAAATAACAATGCTCTAATTCTAAATATTAAGAACTTAATTAACATCCCATTGAACAAAATCATAACAGCCTTATATAATCATATGGGAAATAAATTTATTGCAGCAAAACCACATTTCTATAGGGGGCAAAGAACTGAGTTGAAAATAATTTTCAAAAATGAGGAAAGCCTACAAGAATATGCGATAGATAGCATTAGCATTTTTAGACAAACAATTTTCGGATATATCCCCACCAACTTACGAAAGACAACACTTTCAATAAAACTTAGTAATGTGCCCATGGGGGAAAAGGAAATGATTTCTAACTATATTAAAGAGGCAATGGAAGACTTCAGTACTATCATTTCAATTAAGCCTCTGTTATACGAAGGAACTCCAATTCTATCTAACCAGTGGATCGTGGTGTATGATACTACCAATGATCCATCCATCACAGAAAAACTTCCACGCCATACACACATTTGGGATCAAAAGGTAATGATCGATTGGAAGGCAGCTCCTAAAGTGTGTTTTTATTGCGATCTTGAAGGCTACATAAAAAAGAACTGTAATCAACTAAAGGAATCAATTGAGCTAAGAAGAAGATACAAGGCATTAAGGAATAATCAAAGAATGGGCAGAAAAGATGTTGATATAGGCAACACATTGCCACATTCATCTAATAACCCCTACATAGAAGGGTGCGGAATCAATGAAGGACAGACTTAAACCCCAAAAACAATGGCTAACAAGGCGGCATCAGAAGGAGTAGCGATGGAAGAAGTGGAAGTTACAGAAAGTACCTTATGTAAAAATACAACAAACGAAGAGGTACATAACAAGAATAATGAACTAACAGATACAGTAACCCGAAGTGGTCAAGCAAAAGGGCAAACTATAGTCGAAATACCACTTGAAAATCATATAGAAGACATAAGGATGAGTTGTTCACTAGAAGAAGAAAAGGAATTCACTGAGGTCATCTACAAAAAAAAAAGAGTGAAAGCTCCATCAACAATAGACACTAAGAATAATAGGTCAAGTCCATATGAAAAAGAGCGGAATTATGGGAGCCATAGTTCCTCAAAAAACTGACCATATTAACCGCAATACTTACCCTTTATGAACATGAGCAAAAATAAGATTATTATAGCCACCCTTAACGTTAAAGGGTTGAACAATCGATATAAATATACAAAGACACTTACTTTATTGAAATAATACAATCTAGATATAATTATGATCCAAGAAACGAATTTAAATAATGAAAAGACTTGAAACTTTATCAAACAACAATGGGCACACGACTCCTTTTAGATGGCGAAAACAGCAATTCTGGCTGGTAATAGAAGGGTTGAACTAAAAAATATGAAGAAAAGCTATGATGGAAGAGTGATCTCCGGAATCGTTAAAATCAAACAGCTTAATTGCAAAATTACTAATGTATATGTGCCCCCGCATATAACAGAACGAATTAGATTCTTTGAAAACTGGGCTCCAGAAAATGATAAGAGTATGGTGAATATTGTCGCTGGTGATTTTAATATTAATATAAACCCGCAAATAAATAGACTCAGTCAAACACCAGCACATTGGGATCTCTCAGCAGCCAAGCTCGCACAAATTATGGAGGATTACGTCGACACAGCTGATGGACTTGAACAACCTTTTATGACCTATATACAGAAAACAAGAAATAATCAAACGATGAGCACTAGGCTTGACTATATATTCATGGATGGTGACCACATACAATTTTGTCAAAATATACAAACTCTTTTTGGGAATTCCGACCATTTATTAGTCCAAAGCACGTTTAATTTCATGCCTGAGGTTAAAGGTTCAGCATACTGGAAATTTAACGCTAGATGTTTAATGAATGATAATATTAAGAAAGACATAGAAAAAGAGTTGCAAGAATACATTTCTGTTGACAATTGGGATCTAAGAAAAAACAGAATACAGGCAATAGTTCGACATTACAAACCGCCCCCAGCTCCAGAGAGGAAAATCTCCAAACTCCAGAGAAAAATAACAGAACTGCAAAATGAAGTGTCAAGATTCCCAGAAAAAAAGGAGTTAAATGCTACAATAATAAAACATCAAACTAACCTACAGGAGGAACTTACAGCACTTGCAGAAAGATGGCAAACTCGGTCGAATGCTCGCTGGATTGAAGAAGGAGAACGATTGACTAAATACTTTTTTACCAGATACAAGATCCGGCATAGTTTAAGCTTCACTACAGAAATCCGTGGTCAGAATAATATAACGAATAAGACCCCAATGGAAACCCTAAAATACGTGAAAGAAACATATGAACTGTTATACAAAACAGAAGACATAGATGCAGAGGCAATAGCAGATCTTAACACTAACCTGCAAACAGTGTCAGAACAACAGAATGAAAATCTAGTGAAGGAGATCACAACCGAAGAAATTGAGAATACTATAAGATCCCTTCCTAATAATAAAGCACTTGGCATAGATGGTTTGTCCTATGAGTTTTACAAAAAAATGGAGGAAGCTATAACACCAGGATTAAAAGATTTGTTTAATGCAATACTAACGGAGAGTAGACTTCCAAAGTCATAGTACAAAAGTGTCATCACTCTAATTCCGAAAAAGACCAAAGCGCTAGATGAAATAAGTAACTGGCGACTAATAACATTAACGAACTGTGACGCGAAAATTTTTCTAAAAATTATGGCAAATAGGACAAACAATATCTGTCAAACAATTATAGGAACGCATCAGCAGGGATTTGTCTCGAACTGGTCAATCATGAACATAGTTCTAGACATACTTATTACGCTAAGAAATCAACCTGACGAATCAAAACAACACTGGATACTGTTCATAGATCAGCAAAAAGCGTTTAATCGGGTCAACCATACATACCTATTGGAGGTTCTAAAAAAAATGAATTTTGCAATATCATTCGTTAATTTGGTCAGAAGTTTACTCTCAAATCAAGTAGCATACATCACAGATACAAATACACTGTCAGATCCTTTCAGAGTAGAAAGGGGTGTAAGGCAGGGAGACCCCCTGTCTCCACTCCTATATGTAATCGCAATTGAGCCTTTCCTACAAAAAATTAAAAAAGGTCTTCAGGGAATACAAGTGATAAACGAGAATTTTAAAACAGCTGCTTATGCAGATGACGTGACAATCGGAATCGGCTCAATATCAGATTGGAATTATTTTCAACGAGCAGTCAAAATATACGAGGCTGCCTCGAATGCTAAAGTCAATATTAACAAGTCAGTACTGATGCCGTTAACATCAAACGCTAGAAACGTAGAGCTTGATGAAAGCGATAAACTCTAGCAAATAGGGGAAAACAATTCAATAACAGTCCTCGGCTATAAAATTACACCAAAGGGCACAATGGATCAGCATTTATGGCGGGACATGACATATAAAATTAATGAACAAGTCAAGAGACTGGCAGTGCGTAATCTCTCATTCGAAGGGAAAATTATTCTAGCAAAATCCCTTGTAATTTCAAAAATCTGGCACACAGCCTATTTGGCCCCACCAACCTGGAAACAACTAACAGTAATAAATAATATTCTGGAAAAATGGATAAAGGCGAAATCCAAGATACTCCCGAGATACACAATTTTTTAACTCCCAGTAGCACAGGGGGGTCTAAATGCCCCAAACCTACCTAACATGATTGATGCACGCTTAACATATATTTGGGTTAAACTGCTAACAGAAAACAATCTCTGGACCAAGGTTGAAAGGAGCATAATCGAAAAAACGCTTAAAAATAAAAGAAACATTACGGTTCAAACTGCACTAAACAAGAAACCAATTAAATTAAAAGGTTGGCCAGAACACTGGAAGCCATACGTTAATGCATGGAAGCGTGCCAAAGGTAAGGTAGAAGTTAATATTAGGGAATGGCCATGGAGCATAGAAAACATTACGATTGCAAACACGCAGGGAGAAAATTTTACAGTTAGAAATATAATTGAATTTCTGAGAGAAGATGCGCTCTGCAATGTCAAAAACTGAAGTCAATTAGTAGACGACTCGTTGAAAGACAACTGGAAATGGATGCATAATAGGTGGGTTCCCAATGCAAGAAAGAACATTTTCTGGCGTCTACAACACAAAGCCCTACTGCTGAGATATAGACATAGACACATTAACCCCGAAGATACAGGCGAATGTCCAAACTGCGCCAATATGACGCAGACCCCGGAGCATTTTGCGCTCGAATGCCCAAAAAGCCAAAAGATATGGAAAATAGCTCTGGAATTAATAACTCCCTCAGCAAATCTAGAAATACCTGAGAACTTGAATGATATATTCTCAGACTATAACGCGGGCAATGCCCTGTTGAAAAATTGGACATACATAAACGTCATATATGAAATATGGCACTGGTACAAACAGGCCAAATGGGGTAACACAGTTCCGAACCCAGTACTGGAATACGTCATTAAATATAGGCTCAATAAAATTATAAAAGCGTTGAGGTGTATTGGAGGGAAGGGTAGTAAAAACATAGATAAAATTACAAAAAATCTCTCTAATAACTAATTAAATAATGTAAATAACATATATATACGTGTTAATATTAATATTTGTAAATAAAGTATGCTACTGGCGTCCTAGGATTCCCTAGGTTAAAATCGAAAAAAAAAAAAAAACTCTAAATATTTATTTATAATTAATTAATTATCTAATACTCTTTAAATCATACACAGGTATAAAGATAATTTATTAATATTAATTAGTATTATTAAATTATGAACATAAATACTTAACTCTAGAAACTTATTTACAATTAATTATCTAATACCCTTCAAAGATTAATTTAGTTAGTGAGTATAAAAATAATTTATTAACATTAATTAGTAAAATTAAAATTATAAATATAAATACCTATTCATAAATACCTATTTATAAATATTTAACTCTAAATACTTATTTATAATTAATTAATTACCTAATATTCTTCAAATAGTATATAAGTATAAAGATGATTTATTAATACTAATTAGTTGAATTAAAATTATGAATATAAATTTTATTCATAAATACTTATCTCCAAATACTTATTTATAATTAATTAATTATCTAATACCCTTCAAATAGTGCATGAGAATAAAAATAATTTATTAATATTAATTAGTAGAATTAAAATCATGAATATAAATACCTATTCATAAATACTTAACTCAAAATACTTATTTTATAATTAATAAATTATCTAATACCATTTAAATAGTACATGAGTATAAAGATGATTTATTAACATTAATTAGTAAAATTAAAATCATGACTTAATTACCTAATATCTTTCAAATCATTTTATTCAGTTAGTGATTATAAAGATGAATTATTAATATTAATTAGTGAAATTAAAATTATGAACATAAATACTTATTTATAAATACTTAATTCTAAATACTTATGCATTAATGTTATTAATACTCTTCAAATTATTTTATTTGTATTAATTATTTAGGCAGTAAGTATAATTTTCAAAATCACAATGAAATTTAAAATAAATAATGAATGATAATATAAAAAATTATATAATAATTACAAAGAAACTCTAAATATAGTAAATATATATACTGTAATAAAAATAATACTCAACTTGCATAGTATCTGATATGTGATTCCAATATTATGGCATAAAGATATTGATAACTGTATTAAAGAATTTCAACTTTAAACTTATCAGTCATAGGATATATCTTTATACAGGAGTTTGAATAGATATTCATATGATAAATCAAATATCGATTATTTGAATTTTATATGAAAAATTCAGCTTCGCAAATTGTTTCTCATATAACAACCTAAATTTTGTGAAACTATTACCTCTTTTACAAATTAAAAAAAAATATGCGCAAGATATTTCTCTATCAAATTATGTAAGTCTCTACCTTTAATCTCTTTTAGTTCAAAGTTAATCTTTGAGTAAAGTTTATATACTCTAACATCTGTAAAATGCTATATTTATAGCTACCATTTCGTTCCAATAGCCCACTTAAGCAACCTGCTTCTCCAAAACAAGCTTTTTAATCAACCTTTTTATAGCAAGATTACTTAAAGTTTGATTTAGATGTTTTGACGCTATTTTGCTTTATGTATAAAAACTTTTACTACTAGATCTAGCGTTATACTTCTAACTTATTATATTGTAGGTAAAAGTAGTTGTATTACTGCATTACTTCAAGATAATAAGCATGGTGTACTTTGTTTCGGAGTTTTTCTGAAATAACACGTACCTAGTATACGTAGCAGATTCATAATACTGTAATAACAGTCGTGGCTTGGAAAATAGTACTTTATTCCAAATAATGTGCATGAGAGTATTCAAGAAGAGGGAAAAATAATGAAATATCTTCTGTGTAAAGTACCCTGCTACAAATTGTGAGACTTCTATTAATTAACTGTATTTTTTTTGAAAACTTTCTAGACTCCCGCTATTGTATAATATGCATAAGCTTTTTTTTATTAGATATAGTCAGACCTCTCTAAATGATTTTCTCTAAATACATAGTCCTCTCTAGACACATCATTTTGCTTGACCCAACTTATAGATTTTTTTACCTCCCTAAGTACAATCCCTCTCGAAATGTAAAAATTTTTATATAGGCCTATTAGTTATACATTAAGAGAGGTCTGACTGTAATTGTATTATACTATAGATCTTTTTTTAATGCATTATAACATTAATTTTATTTTTAGAAAGCAGGGTTTCAAAATATGGATAAGCAGAAATAGAATTATTGATGATTGCCTAAACTTATAAAATTTTATTACAATAAGCAGAATTATAATAAAAAAATAATACAGACTAAATCTACATCGTACTCAGTTTATCCTCTCACAAAACCAAGGAAAGTATTAAATATAAGTTTTTTCTTTTTATTAATTAGTAATGAACTTTCATATAATTACTAAAGTTTGGTCAAAGAATTACTATCCACAGCTTTTCTTTCTCGTGATATTAAGAAAAATGAAAGCTAATATTAATCTTGTTAGGCTGGATTGTTGGTATGAAGTTCCTAAAAGTGACGAGTAATTAAAAGTATGAACAATTTATTTTACAATGTAGAATCGCTAAATTTTAATTCGTAGTATAATAGACCTATGTTTTGAAACTTAAGTATAATAGACCTATGTTTTGAAACTTAAGAATGTAGAAATAGAATATTTAATACAGATATTTTATTTTTGAAATAAATAAATACAAAGTAAAATAAAATAAATCTTATAACCTTTGTAAGCAAACTATTTCACAAATATATATTTGCTCTGTTATTCCTAAAATTATAATGATCAAAAAAAAAAGAATCGAATTTATCAATATGATTGTTAAAAACCAAAACAAATATTGTCCTAAAGTTTGCTTACTCTGGTGAACCCTTAAAAGAATGCAGTTATTCCTAAAATTATAATAATTAAAAAAGATAAAGAATCAAGTTTAGTTAATACGATTGTTAAAAATCTAAAATGCTTGCTTGTTATGAAGTCTTTTTACTCTAGTGAATCCTTGAAAGAATGAGGTATCCCTAAAATTATAATAATAAAATAAATAAACGATTGTTAAAAATCTAAAATGCTTGTAATAATTAGTGTTTGACAATATTGTCCTGAAGTCTGTTTACTCTAGAGAACTATTTTGAATTAAAGAATGCGGTTATCCTTAAAATTATAATAATAAAAAAAAATAAAGAATCAAATTTGTCAATACGATTATTAAAATCTGAAAATATTGCAAAACATATCAAAATTTGAAAGAATAAGTAAAAGTGATTATACAATCAATCAATTGTTTCAAGTATGTTTTGCCTAATCAAAATTTAAAATTATGTAAAATATAAATAGCCTCATTATTCAAGCTAATTCCCTTCTTAATTAAAAATATTACAACAAGAGTAAAATTGCTTAGCTTCAAAATAGCAGATCCTAAGTTTGTTTTACTCACAGATTTCGAAGAATTTAGTGCCTCCAAAGAAAATAGCGAAGAGACTTTTACTATCAATCAAATTAATCTTGAAAATGCCTGAACTTTAATCAATGATAATAATAAAAGTGAAGTAAATGATGATAATGAAAATGAAGTAAGGGATGATGATGAAAATGAAGAAACTAACTGGGATGAGACTGAATCTAATTTGTATAAAAGAGATATAACAATTCTAGAGACCTCTTTGCAAATTCTGGATATAACACTATGCGTAGTTATTGATATAATTCAGAGCGAGATAAAACATTGTAATGAAACAACAAATCTATAGCGACTGAGACAAATAGTAGGAACATAGAAGATAGATGTAGACGTAGTTGAAAATATCAAGAAAAAATGCAATAATACAACAAATATAAGGTGACTAAGAAATATGATGGATATAGATACAAACACAGACGAAGAGAATAGTCTTTCTTGACTTGGCATATGCTATACCTATTTTACCTTCAATCAAAATTAACTTCATAAACCAGGTATAAAGAAATCTCATTCAGTCGATCAAAGTATTGTTCATTTTCGCATTTGACTATTTTGTAATAGGAAAAAAGATTTCTTTAGTCAGAGTGATATTTGCACAGAGTATTTATGGAATATCAATAGGTGTAATATTCAAGTACCTGTATTGGCGTTCATAATTGTCCTACATTTTTCGAAGGACATATTGCAAAAAAATCACATTCAGGTTACCGTGCTCATTATATATATGCTGAATGCTTTCAGAACATGAAGGCTATTTATATGAAAGACTAGGTAAAAGAATCACGCCACCATCTTGTACCAAGCTTGGAAAACACCATGATGATACTAATGATGCTTTGAGGCTAATTGGAAAATAGTTAATAATAGTATCTGAATTAGATGATCAAGAACTACAAGAAATACTTTTATCCCAAATATCCTTAACTATTTTTAATAATGTAAAAAATGAAAACTTATCTGAGCTTACAAGTAAATTAATTATTAGAACAATGATGAGATTAAAAAGCATTAAAGTAAATAGGTTAGTGAATAAAAAGTCTTACATAACTCAAGAAAAGGCTTCAGCAATAGGAGAAAGATTAGGAAAAGAAATTTTATACTCGCATTCTGAAATTAAAAAAAATATTAGTCAGTTAGAAAACCTAAGCTCATATGACAACTACATCAATGCATTATCTATTGTCATTCATAGCTTTTTTAAGCCCTTCTTACAGTACTACAACAATATAAACTAACAACTATTAATATTAAAAGGCATTAACGTGAACTTCTACTAAAATCATTTAATAAAAGTCAAATAATAAAAACTACTATATTTTTGACTTCCATGCTACTTACTATCGCTTTTCCCAAATAAAAATCTAGCTTTCACATATAATGTCATCACTATGTTAAAATCGAAATCACTGCCATATCTATGAAAAATTCTTTATTTAGCATGTGTTGTATTACACACTAAACGATATGAAAATTATCTTGAAAGGTCAAGAATACAAAATACAGACCCTAAGAAGAACTTACTTGACAAATCAAACATCTGAAATTTAGCAGTAATCGATAATATCAACTTTAAAGCTTCCACATTCTCCTATGGAAATATTTTTGATATTATATGACAAACTTCATATGTGACATTATGAATAGTGTTTCAATTTTCTCTTCCTACCTCATATGAATATCAAACTAGAGACTACAATTTCACTGACCATCCACTGTTTGGAGAGTCTTTGACCACTAAAGATCTTTTGATGTTATATGAGTCAACTTTAAATATATTGTTAGAAACTTGTATAAATGAATTTGAGATAGAAGATGTGTTCTCTAAAATCACTAAACAAATACCTATAGGTTGTAATATCCCACTGCCAAACATTGTTATATTAGAACCTGGTGATCTACCAAATTGTAATGAAAATGTTCATATTGTATATGAACTGTACTATGATAACTTACCTTGTGTCAACAATTGTAATCTTTATATAGTATATGACTAGGCAATATTCAGAAGATTAATCTCATATAAGAAGATCTATTATGATGTTAGACTTCTTCTAGGACAGTAGCATACATCTAAAGACATGTGCTCTACCTTAATTATGATATTTTCTGAATATGAAATCTTCAACCTTGCAGCAAACCTTAGTGTATGATATCTAGATAAATTTGAACATGTAGTAGATTACTATGCAACAACTCGTGTTTTGGAATTAATTTGGATCGCAGTTAGGATTGCATTGTTTCAGTATTTGATAAATAAAAGAAAGACTATAGACTACATTTTGAATAGTAATAATTGCCTAGCAAAAGTGTGGTATCTCTTCTTTTGTTGGGCAGGATATTTTATAGGTCATAAAATCAGAATTAGAAGAGGCAATTATAGAATGCAGATGGTAAATTTTGCTGCATTCGACCTTTATTTCCAGCAGCTGAGAAGTTCAAATATGCAAGCTCTATAGCATATTTCTTAACTCAGGTTCATGATGATTTACAACTACAAAAATTGCTACAAATAGTTTGTTCAGTAAACCTCATAGTGAAGGACATTATTTTGCTTTTGATGAAGTACTTGAAACTTATAGCGTAAAGTTTATCAAGCAAAATATAATAAGTAATCTTGTCAACTAACAGACCATGATGCTGAAAATTAAAGCTACACAGAGTGAGAAAAATTGGTTAACAATACTTCTTGCAGAGTATATCGATGATATCGTGATAAGTCAAAATCCTCATGCGATCAAATCACGCAAAGATTTACTCTAGTCCTTATCTACAAAATTATTGTCTGCCTTTAATCAACTGGATCTAGCAACACATTTTCTGTTCGAAGATTCACTGAAAATCAGTGAAGAGGGTTTTGAAAATATTCTTACTTTTTATAAGTTCAGATTATCATAGTTTAAGCAGGTGCTTGCACAGAATATATACAAGACTGAAGTTCCAACTCCTAGACATCATTCGCGAAGTATAAATGCATATACTTATACTAAACTTGAGAGTATAAAAAAGCAAAAAGTACCCAAATAAGTAATTCTGCATAAGTTCAAAAAAGTACTTCATAGCATCAGATATTATTACCTTCTGAAATTAATCGTTCAAGACAAACCTATTGTACTACCATATAAGCAAAGAAAAATATACTTCTTCAATTATTTAAGATTGAAGAAAGAATGCCTGATGCTATAATTCCAAAAGTTACATTAGAACTTCAAACTATATCTTTGGATTGAACTAAGGAAAGAGTTAAGCTATATTATAAAAATAACTGACGTAAGTATTCTTAATAAATCAAAAAAAAAAAAATAGAATTGTTTCTTAATAATTAGAATACGATATGTTGAGTTCTCAAACTTTTTTATAATTTGGAATTTCATTTACAATTAGGCCATGCAAAGTTAATTACTTGGTTCTTATAAAATGAAATTTTAAATCTGATCTAGCCAGCCGGCTTTTTTTTCATATTTCATATATAAAATTTTATAAAATTTTATAAATTTTTTTTTATAAAAAATCCACCCAGTTAATAAAACATATAAAAAAAAATTTTTAAAAGTTTTTAAACTTTGACCTAGTCGGATTATGAGAACCAATTCATATATTTTATGTAGCCTTAAATATTTTTTAAATTGCTGTATATGTATTTAGTTCTATAAGATCTAAAATTTGAGATTATAGAAACAAAGTTTTTATTAGTTTGGAGGTAGTGAAAATCATATCTCTAATATATACAAAAACTCAATTTAATATTTTTATCTGTATACTTATCATTATATAATATATATTATAGTTAATAAAGATTATAATTATTATTCACTTTTTAGTTATAATTATATTTTGAATTTTTACTTGACCTTTGTAACGAAACTAGTTATGTTAGTTAAATCTAGAAAAAAGAGATAAAAGCAGAAATACTTTTGAATTAATACCTTAATCTATCTTATTAAAAGGTACCCTCTTAGTAAATTTCTATAATCTACAAGTAAAGCACCCTTACTTTAATAATGAGTTTTGTAAAACTCTTTATTCATTACTGCTACCAGAGCAAAGCTAGTTTTAATCTGCAGTATATTAAAGTAGATCTTACTATTTAGATTAGAAAATTGCGATCTTTAGGTCTCATTTTGTTTTTTATAAAATGAAATAATAAAGGTATTTTTGCTACAGAACGAAAGCTCAAAACTTGAAGAATAAAGTTTCTCTAAGGTCAAAATATTGTTTGCTATTAATTATTTGACATATGTCAAAAAACATCATGATGATTTATGTTATACAATAATAAATTATTAGTAAAATCAATGTGATAGATATGTCCTGTGACTGTTATAAATACAAAGATATAATTGAATGAATTCTATTTGATAAGTTAGTTGATATTAAAGAAATTAGCAAAGGAGAATTTGGCTCTATATATTTTGCAACTGTGATAATATAGTGGATAAGTATAAAGATAATTTATTAATATTATTTATTGCTGATTTATTAATGATATTTGTTATTTTTTGATAATTAGCTGCCAAAATCTAGAGTGCTGAATTTTCCAAATTTGACTAGTGAAAATTATTCAAAGTAAACATAGGTTGCATTCTATTACAGTATTATGTATCTCACAGTCACTACCAAAAATTGTCAGAAGCTATCAACACTACCTCCACTCAAAGAAACTAGGTAACAGTGTTGCTAAGAAATCCAAGATGCAGCATAATGTGACACTTCTTAAAAGAGAAGCAGGATTTGATTTGACATGGTAGCAAAACATTATGCAGTAGTAAGTATTTTATTTTATTTATCTTGGTCCTTTCTTACACTACTCTGTATATTCATTAATTACATTATCTCTCTAAATTTATATCTCTTTATACATGTTTCGAGTACATAAGAAAAGCAATAAAAAGAAAGAAAAAGAAATCTAATGAAGGTTTTACTTCATTAATTCAATGAACAGCCTTAAACTTTGTCATGGCATTGAGACACGGCTACGAACTTATCCTGATATGGTTAATTTAACCCATTGACATCTCTAAGCCGCATTTTGACAATCGGGTTTAACTACGGATTTGCTGATTATTAGTTCAGGCTTCGCAAATCACTTTAAGGCACGGTTTCTTCTTTCTTTGATATACTGATTTTGCCTCTGACACTAGTTAATAAGTAAAACGTATAATCATGCACAAAGTGTCTCTAAAAATTACCGCAATTTTATGTAATTTTACATAAGTTTGTGTAAGTTTCTGAAATCAAAATTACACATAATTTTGATTATGTGAATAATTTTGCAAAATGAGTATAAAAATTATAGCACCGAATATAATGATGGATATCTATCAATACTAACAAAACTTTTGTAATGCTAGTGCAATTATCACGTGACAATGCATTATTTACATTATAGTTTCTTAATTTACAATGTAATTTCATTGTAATGTAAAATTATAAATGTAATTTTCAACCCTAGAAATGACAGTTCTAATTATTTTGTTCTAACCGAATATATGGGATCTTTGCTAGGAAAATCACCCTTCGGGATTTTCTGAACGAGCAAATTCGGAAAGACTTAGACCAGAACACCCGTTCTTATATATATGCAAATCATCTTGATATTATAGTTTATTAAATAAACTATTGCATCGATAAAGGTAAATAGCAACTTACATATAAATAATAACTGGTATTCTGGTCTAAGTCTTTCCAAATTGGCCCGTTCGGAAAATCCCGAAGGGTGATTTTCCTAGCAAAGCTCCTAATATATGTATATCTCATGCCGAATTTTTAGTGGTAAAGTGAGTGTGTGCTATGCCAAATTTGAGTAATTCAAAAAAACAAAATATTGCAATAAATCAAATATATTCTACTGATTATTGTGAACTTTGCCAAGTAAATATTTGAAAATGTGTAAATTTTTTATCTATATTGATATTTAAATGTTAATTCTGGGATGTAGCAGTAAAAAAAAAAAAAACCTATTAAGTTCGACAATTGATAGATTATGCGATTAAATGATAATGTATAAAATGATTAATAAAATTACTAAATTGAATTGTTTTTTGTAATAAAATTATACAATTTTGTCACGTAAAAGGAATTTAAAAAAATTAAGCATAAATGGTAATTCAAAATAGTCCACGTAAATATTGAGCATTATAAATTTACTTATCCAAACAGAGAAACACATACTGGTAATATCGTATATTCCTTTAAATTACATGAAAATTTATAAAAATAGACAATATGGTCAATTGTTTTCATTTTATAAATTTTATTACAAAATCATGCAATATTTAGTCTCATAAAAGGAGCTTAAAATTTAAAATAACCCCTCAATTACCCATTTTTGCATTTATAAAGAATATTTTTCTTAGTTCTTTATATATAATAGATTGTTAATTATAAATCAAAGAATTACAATCATCTATTTTCTATACTAGATTGTCAATTCTAAATCAAAGAATTACAACATCCTTTGTCTATATAATAGATCGTCAATTCTAATCAAAGAATTACAATCACATGCATTCCTATAATTGATTGTCAATTCAAAATCAAAAAATTACAATGGTTAAATCATGTGCATGTCTGAATTATTACAAATTTGCACAATGAAATAACGGAAAATTTCCGATTGTTAAGAAATTTTATCAGAATTTTTTTCAGTTCATCAGAATCTCCGGTATTTTACAATAGGTTTTTGTGCACTGCCATGATCCTCGCGTGATACGTGGAATAGGATTATATCGTGAGTTCCTTAAAATTATGTTAATGCGGGCTAGCTGGCCTGAATTGGAGATCATACTAAAAATCCCACGCATTTTGCGCGCGTGATCCCGCGTGGATCTCGCGCATGCCCATCACTACTTATAAAGATCTTTTAATAGTATCTAGCACTATATTCATTACTTCCCAGTTCCTGGTTTCGTGCAATTGCATTAATATACAGTATCTGTTGCGAAGAATATTCGAATTGACAAATTGCATCACTACTGTATGTTTAAACCTTTTTTTATAAATACCTAGAGCTGACCAAAAAAAATATTCAAAAAAAAACGAAAATTTTACTTTCCAAAATATTAAATTCAAAAGATCATATTATTACAATGAAATACCTTTTCTGTTTTATTATTCTTATTTGTATCGTTCACGGTCTAGTAGTTCATGGATCACTACTTAAAGGTAATTTTTTTAAAATTAATTATTTTCGTTTATAAATATTATTATAATTTTTCACCAAGTATATGCTTTATTAGCAGTTCGATAGGTTAACCTCATGAAATGTTGTACTCTTGGTGGCAATCTATTGGATTGTAATAAAGGTGATCCCTGTATGGATGATAGTAATTATAAATACAATATAATTTGTTTTTTGGGGATTTGCTTTTAGGATTATGATCCTCCCTGCTGTTAAAAAGTTTGAAAAAAAATGAACATTACTAGGAATAATTTTATAAACTAATTTATTATAAATATGATTTGCTCAATGCTAGAAGCTTAAGCGTATGTCATTACAACTCAGAATTTCATAGTCATTTCAATATCATTTCTACACATCCTTTTTTAAATTATATTTTAACTGCTTTAGGCGAGACCAAGTTGATTTTCTGTTTTACATTACCTCCCTCCCCTCCTCCTCACCCCTCCCCCCTACTACATAGTAAAAAAAAAATTTATATATATAAAAATTTTTAATAGCTCTAATATTTTAAAAAACCTATAATTTATGTTTTCATCTTCATTATTTTAATTAATTTTAATTTTTATTTATATACTTTTTATACTTACATAATAATTTTTATAGATTCTTTATCAATTTATTTATTATTAAATAATATAAATGTCGAAGTTAAATAATATATATAGGTTACTAGCTTATAGACCTGGGCATTGCTCCAGGTGCTAGTTTTTTATTTTTTTTTTAGTTCTTAAATTTTTTAAAATCAAAATTTAAATAAAATATTAGTTTTTTTTAGTTAAAGTTTAAATATATTATTAGTTAATAAATTTAGATTAAGTTTAAATTAAAAAAATATTAGTTAATAAATA